AGAGGGGGGTGTCAGGGCCAGGGCCAGGGCCACGTAGTGTGTTGTACGTATTGCTCTACGGATGGTGCGCCGGATGTATATTGCTCGACGTTTGGTTGTTGCGCGGGCCTCTTTGTTAGCACCTCGAAGTCTCATACCCAAGGTACGCGCCTGACAACTACTTGTATGGTAAGGTACGGATGGGTAAGGTAGGTAGGTATTAGAATGAGAAAGGCCCGTCAGGCAGGTATCAGTTGTATCAGTCCATCCACCCAGTCAACCAACCAATGCCCAAGGGGCTGTTGCTGCTACCATGGATGAGGAGGGGGCGGGGAGCATATCCGTACAGACGCTAGGTAGGCAAGTGGATGGCTGGACGGATAGACGGACGGACTTTTGGACCCAGACCTCTGCTCTGGGGAGACTGGACGCCGAACGAGAATGAGATTGACGGCCTGCTACGGGTGACGAGACGAGGTGACGAGGCCGAGGAACCGCGCAGGAAGTGTGAGGCGCCTGTGTCAGCGACAATGTGCAATGTGACAGTGGAGGCCCGGCTGGTATCGACCAACAACTACATACGCAGTACGCAGTCGGTTGCACTAACACCGAAAGAGCCCCATTTTTGATGCGGAAGGACGGCACCAGGAGGGCGGGGGCCAGCCGACTGGCGATGTGTGTCTGAATGAAGCGTTGGTGTGTGTGGTTTGTGAAAGAACGGAAGAAAGCAGAAACACCACGACCGGCGCACCGTGGGAATACGTACCCCCGGATGGTTCAGCTCAGCCCCAATTGTAGGGACCAGTCCTTGTCTTCAGGTTGTCTTGCTCGCCTCGTCATTGGGGCTGCTAACGCCTGACTAAGGCACCTCACGGCCTCAGGGCGACGGGACGGCACTGGATTCGGGTCGTCGTCGGGTACCTCGACATACCCTCCCGGGACAGGGAAACACTTCCATTTGAACCCAAGACATGCCACTCCCGCTGTTGGGGCCTGTCCGGAGCCTTGCCGTCTGAGCTGCCCTTGTGCAAAGTGCCCAGTGCCCGGCCTGTTGCATCCAATCCGATCCAGTCCAGTCCAGCTTGCCAGCGCCGTGTGCTTACAAAACATGTGCTTCTGGAGCCTGCCCGGCGTTGCATTCCATGCCGACGTCCGTCTATCCAACGGGATAACCACACAATCGAGACAACAAGTAACCAATCAACCATTCAATAGTACGATCAACTTGGGCAGAGTGAGTTGCTAGTTGCTTCCTCTTTGAGGCAACTCTGAACATGAAGCAGGCATTTCGGACTCAATTCTGGCCAGTAACATCGAGACTTAAAAATAGGAGTGGGTACCTCGCTCGATGCTCCGTCCAGTGTGCAGTACCTTTTTTGCCTGGCAAGTTACACAGTCCATCCGGCCGCCTCAGACAGAAGTAAAATGCCTCTCCATCCGCGTTGTCATACTGGACCGTGTGCGTCTCTTCTTCAACGGGAAACGCAAGTTGGGAAAAGATGCTAAGTATGCAACAGTCAGAACATGGAGGCAAGGGAAAGGGCAAGGTCGTTTGAGCAACGCCCTGCGTGGGTACCCCCGTTGACCTTAACGGCGGTAAGGTGTGCCAAGCCAAGACCGCAGGCAAGATAAGGTAGTGATGAGGGAAGGGAGATGCACATTGTGAAAGTCTTGTCTTGTTACACTTTCGTGGCGGCAGCGGATCGCACCCGATCTGGTTGCAACTGTGAACCTGGAGCCTGTCTCCAACTTGACTTTGTGTGCCTGCCGCAGGCCTGCGGGAGAAACACCAGACAGTTCAATTCTCCGGCCCAAGAACATCAGGCATTCCATTCCACATGGGCTCATGGGCTGACCAAATCCCGAGCTGACGCCGGTGCGTCCGCCCGCAGCTCCTCCGTTTCGCCTCATCGTCTCACTGCACTTCACATCTGAGCGTCTGCTGCATCTTTTGCGACTCGGGCACCATTTGTCTGCTCTGCTCTCCACAAGCCTTGTTTCGTTTTAACCGTCTGGTATCATGCTATTAATGTCTCGTTCTAATGCCTTTCTCACACCATCGGCGTGCTGACACGCGAGCATCTACCATGCTGATTTCCGTCCTCCACACTTCTCTTCATCTTACATCACGCCCTCCAACCATCTATCCCGTTGATATTCAGACAATTGCTGACGTCCAATGCTACGCTGATCATGTTCATCGATCTGCGTTATATCCCCTAAACGCCACGTGCCATGCTTTTCCAGACCCTATTGCCATGCAGAAAAAAGTCTCCCAAAGAACTCCATGTGATATGCCATAATACAAGAATTAATCCAACGCCTCGCCACTGAGAATTCGGGTCAAGATGGCTGCACCAACGCCCTCGGCGATGCTCTCCATCTCCTTCTCTCCAACGCAGCTAGCCACCCGCTTGTCTTCGCCGGTTGGCATCGCCGCTTTACGCCCTCTTTTGCTTGGCGTCTGGATTGCTACAAGGCCCCCTGTCTTTCCATCAACCTGGTTGATCAGGCCCAACGCCTCCAAACTTCCGATGACTTCGCGAAACTCTGAGCTTGACAGCGGGTGAAGGACAGAGTCTCGGGTGCAAAGAATTGTGTAAGTCTCACACAAGCTTTTGACTGTGGGGGCGAGTGACTGCGACTTAGTCGGAGTTGCCAAGCCGTTTGCCATCTTCGCCGATCTGTTACGCTTCTCCAGGGCGACCAATGAGCAGAGCGCGGCCTTCTGCTGAAGGTTGAGCGCCTTCAGTCTCTGGTTGGTGCCGTTGCTGAAAGCTGCTGCCGTCACCTTGTTCAGATGTCCAATAGCAGCTCGAGGTGCCGTCTCTGCTGTTAGGGCCTTCAAAGACGCCGCAGCAACGTGAGGTACGCTTCTGGAGCCGCCAGTTGCAGCCATGTTGGCGTTTTCGCCAAGAGGCTTCCGAGAAGGTGTCATCTGCAAAACCTTCTCTCTTGCTTCGTTTTCGTGTTGTTGTTTTGTCTCTGACTCGATCAAGTCAAGTGCGCGCCTGCAAATCTCGAAGGCTTTCCGCAGATCTCCCGTCTGAGCTGACACCTTTCTTGAGCAAAGCTCAATAGCTGCAGGGTGAATGAAAGGAGTCGTTGTTTGCTTGCTGTCTTTTGGGAGCAGCGACATTAAGCGCGTGGTGATGATGCTCTTGATCTGGGCCGCTGAGTAGGGGTGAAAAGGGAGCAGAGACGGCTTGAGGTTCTTCGACTTGAGGCGTGGCAGAAATCGGTCCGTGAGGTCGAGGGCATTTGCGATGCCGATGAGAACGAGTCGGGATGGTTGCTGCAAGGACCATTCGAACAAGCGGTACAGGCTCTCCAGACCCATGGTCAAGATGTGGTCAATCTCGTCCAAGACAACGAGGTAGACAGGCGAATCCTTCTTCTTCGTCACAAAGATCTTTTGCAACGCCTCCATTGCTGATGCTTCTGAGAGGTCGCTGTCATGCCCCAAGAGGTCAAGCAGGGTGTTGTAGAGATCCTTGGATGACCGGATGCTCATGCAGTTGATCGTTGCTTGACGCACAGCTGTTGACTCGGTCAAGTGCTCTGTGACTTCCTTCACCATTGCACTCTTTCCGGTTCCAGGGGGTCCGCTGACGTAGAGGCATCCGCTGGGGTTCGTAGATGAGCATTGTTGAATAAACTGAGAGAGCTGCTCGCGCTCTTCCTCTCGTCCCACAAGCTGACCGGGATCAGCACCGCGGGCGAAGAGTTGTCGTGCAGAGTGGTAGACGGTTTGAAGAGAGCCGGGGGTGAGAGGAGATTGCGGCGTCATTCTCTGGAATAGCTTGCCGGCGGACTTAACAGCCATTCGAGGGGTTGAAGGGGAATTGGCGAAGACATCTCGGTGCCGGGGAGTCTGAGGCGTGACAGGGATCGCCTTAGCCAGAGTCTGGGAGCGGGAACGCTTGAGCTTCTTCGGAGAGGGTTCAGCATAAACATCGTCGACCTGTGAATCGCTTTCGGACGTGGCATTCGCGTCGGGGTCTGCGTTCTCGTCATTCTCTTGTGCGGCTCGAGTCTGTCTTCTAGTTCGCTTCGCAGGAAGCTGGACTTCATCTGGCAAGGCAGTTAGCAACAAAGTTTGGACCGTTGACAAGTTTTGGTCGAGCTTACCTTGGTCCTGAACGGTCCTAGTCCGCTTGCCGAGGAGTGAGGCGCGAGACATTGCGGTAATGTATTAAAGTAAAGTAAAGAGGCAATCGCAACTGACAATTCACAAATTAAAGACAATTGGGGAAAGTTCGGTCGAAGCTTTGGCGAGCATACAGAAGGAGAAGTTGAGAGATTGGAAGGAGTGGATTTGCGGTTGCGAGTGGAACTGAAGAAATAGGGTGGTAGGCGCGGGCCACGACGATGGCCGGGAAACGCGCCTGCTCCTGGAGTCGCGTAAATTGAATTCGCGAGAAAACGCGCTCCTGAGCAGGTACAGATGGGTTGCTGTGGCTAGTGCGGCTGACCGCGGAACATGGACCGTGCGTACGCGGGTGACGGGACTTGGACCCTCTTTCCACTGGCGGGTCTGTGCTCGGGTTCATCCGCTTACCTAAAGCACCCTGAGGCAACATTGAAAGGGGTCACAGTGCTGGGTCAGCTCCGCGTCTCGCCTTATCGTGCTGTGCCCCACTGTGCTTCCCCGCGAAGTATGCTGTGGCAAGCGACGAGACAGTAGCGGAGGTGCCCGGTACTACCAGCATGAATGGCGGGCAGGGCCGCCTTCCAACGATACTATCAAGACCACATCTCCGTCTTCGCCGTGTTTCCCAATTCTTTTCTGCAATGACACTCGTGGCAATATTCTTTCATTTGTGTAGTTCATCTCGAGTGCACGGTCTTGGTCTACCGCTTTGTCTCACCTAATCCGGCGCATTTTTTATACACGGGGCAACCGGCGTTTTCGTTACTCTCAGCCACTTTCTGTGCTGTTCATCCCTCCGCGTTCAAGGAAATCCGCGACTGCATCGTTTGGAGAGCATCGTTCTACCGTTGTTCTCCTCTACTCAGTCATGGCTGATGTCGAGGCGAAAGGATACAACCCTCGTGTGGAGGGGTTTCGGGATAGAGAGTATCCCATGTTGAAAGGTAGTCTCCGCCAATGGTATTGAGTCCACACAACTCCAGTGTTGTTGACCACCCTCACAGACTCTATATATCTTGACCATGCAGGCACAACTCTCTACTCAAAGTCCCTCATGGATAGGTTCTCTGCCGACATGATGTCGAATCTATTCGGAAATCCACATTCAGCTTCGTCGCCTTCTCAGCACACGACATCCAGAATTGAAGATGTCCGTTTACGACTCCTGAGATTCTTCAACGCCGACCCATCAGAGTTCGACCTGGTCTTCGTGGCAAACGCCACAGCTGGTATTAAACTTGTTGCTGATGCATTTCGCGCTTCACCGGAAGGCTTCTTCTTCGCTTATCATGAGGCGTGCCATACCAGCATAGTCGGAGTCCGCGAGGAAGCACGCGATAGCGAGTGCGTCAATGACTCTCAAGTCCAAGAATGGATATCGGGGCAGGTCCCATCTCCTAAACTCAACCAAACTGAATCAGACGTACTCTTCGCATATACAGCCCAGTCTCACATGGACGGTTGTCGATACCCCCTAAGCTGGCCAGCACTTCTTAGACAGACGGCTGAACCACCCCGCAACCGTCTTTATTCTCTTCTGGATGCCGCCTCATTTGCTTCTACTTCCCCTCTGGATCTCAGTGACGCAACAACCGCACCAGATTTCACTGTTCTCAGTCTTTACAAGATATTTGGCTTCCCAGACCTTGGAGCCCTCATCATCAGAAAACAAGCAGAATCGGTGTTCGACAGTAGGCGTTATTTTGGCGGTGGCACCGTCGACATGGTCATCTGCGGCAGAGAACGGTGGCATTCGCCAAAGACCACATTTTTGCACGAGCGACTTGAAGACGGCACATTACCATTTCACAGTATTATTGCGCTTGATGCTGCGCTTGATGCACATGCTGACCTATTCGGAACTATGGCTTGTGTGGCATCGCACACGGCGTTTCTCAGGCGGCGTCTTCACCAGGGCCTGACAGCTCTCACCCACGGCAACGGAGCGCCGATCTGTACCGTCTACTCGCAACGTCCCACGGACGACGCGGCATCTGACGGATCGGGTCCACTCGTCGCATTCAACCTCCGCAATTCGGCTGGTGCTTGGGTTAGCCTCCATGAGTTTGAAAAGTTGGCAACGCTGAAAAGCTTGCATGTTCGGACCGGGGGTGTCTGCAGTCCTGGAGGTGTAGCATCAGTACTTGGCTTGAAACCCTGGGAGATGCGGAGGAACTTTTCTGCTGGTTTTCGATGTGGAACAGACGAAGACATCGTTTCTGGAAAGCCGACAGGTATCATTCGCGCAAGCCTTGGCGCTATGAGCACCATATCCGATGTGGACTTCCTCGTTGGCTTCATCCACGAGTTCTATCGAGAAGATGCCATGCTCGTCGACGTGGAACCAGGTATCTCCATACCCGGCAAGAAGATCCAGGTACAGGACATTAATATTTACCCTATCAAGAGCTGCGGAGGCTATTCCGTACCTCGGGGCGATGCATGGGAGGTGAAGCCCGAGGGCTTAGCTTGGGACAGAGAATGGTGCCTCGTTCATCAAGGATCTGGACAAGTTCTCAGTCAGAAACGATATCCGAAGATGGCCTTGATAAAGCCCTCCCTTGACTTCAAGAGTGGAAACTTATGCGTCTCCTTCAGCGGCAAAAGGGCCTTTCACGCACCCGATGAGATTCGGATACCCCTTTCCGCAGACCCGACACAGTTCGACTCAAAAGTTTCGTCTCGTGGAAGATCTTCCCGTGTTTGTGGCGACAACATCACGCCCCAGATCTACAATTCTGACGCCATCAACGGTTTCTTCACCGACGCTCTTGGTGTTCCTTGTGTATTAGCACGATTCCCAGCGGGTGGACAAGGTCCCGCTATGCGTCACGCCAAAGCAAAACCCCAGAAGCATCAACAAATCAGAACAACAGCGGCCAGAGTATGCCCAGGAGCCTTCCCAGAGTTGCCGTCTCCACCAGATTCGGACTCTGAGCAGCCATCAGGCAAGATTCTTCTCTCCAACGAAAGCCCCATCCTCCTTATCAACACCGCGAGTCTGCGCGCCCTGAATGATGAAATCGAGGCCGCCGGCGGGGAACCAGTACCGTCGGCGGCGTTTCGTGCCAATGTTGTCATTGGCCCAGCTTCGGATTCAAAGGATCTAGCATGGGCGGAGGACACCTGGACGACTCTGTCAATAGGAAAGAACGAGTTCAAGCTTATGGGTTCCTGCCGGCGATGCCAGATGGTTTGTGTGGACCAGGAGAGCGGTGAGAGGCATGAAGAACCATTCGTGACTCTGGCGAAGATTCGAAGATTTGACGGAAAAGTCTACTTCGGCACGCACATGGGTCATGACCCCGGCCCGGATACGTTGAGGCCAGCCACGTACCCCACCATTCGGGTTGGTGACACCGTTGAGGTTGATCGCAAGTCGTGATACCCTCTAGTTACATCATTCACGCGAGAGCATGATTAATAGCATAAGAATAAGATGGCATGCAATAGCGCACCGAATATGACAAAACGTAGCCCTTCCGAACCGTGGCGTGAGCTATCATGAATTTGCTTCAATAGAGGAAAAGTGGTCTTCTTAAGTGATCATTGAGTTCAGCAGTTTCTGGTGCCACGCGCGTACTTACACAGTGCATTTATGAATCTGCGCGCGGTTTCCTCACCGCAGCGACCGTGCGCGTTATCGGAAGGACGCGACTTAGATAGCCAAGGCAATCAATTAAACCTTAGTCTGCCGCCTTACCATGTACGTAAGCAAGCCCACCTCGCACGTCTTCCTATCCTAAACTCCACTCACGTCCCTCACCACCCGCAGGCTTTCTTTTCTTCTTCTCCCACCCTTGGCCACACGACATGACCACCGTCACATTCAGGTTCGCCTTCGGACCCATTGTCCAGAACACCTCAGGCAATCAGGCACCGTTCTGCGATATGTCCTCCACCACTTCGGCCCAATCTTCGGCCTGAAATAGCTCTTTCCCCTCAGCCATGTTTCTCACCTTCCCCTCTTCTTCCATCTCCTTGTGATCCAGCAGTGACTCCGACGTGGTCGTTAACGTCATGCTTCCGCTCAACATGGTCTCTTGACACAATTTCCTCTCCTTTGGTTTACCTCTGGCTTCTACTAAGGACGAGATGTCAAAGACCCGTGGCCGCGCAAGGCCTCGAGGTGTCATCGAGGGCTACCCCTCTCCTACTAGCCATGCTGGACCGGCTCCCTGGGTGACTGAGACAGCCTCTGGGGACAAGATCATGCCGTACTTCCTGTAAAGCGGAATATCACGATGTTCTGCTTGACAGCGACCTCCCAGCCCAACCTTTACAAGGTATGTCAAACACAGCCCTTGCAAACATGTTACGAAAAGCCGTCAGCTAACAATGTTTGGTCAGTTAGACCGCCGTAGTTGACTATGGCGACAAGCCACAGCCGGAACGCCGCTTGGCGTCGAAGTCCAACGTGATCAGATAAGCCCTTCGTCACAAGATTCCCAGAAATAATTCAACAATGCTTGGGCGAAGCATCACAGAGGCTGCAGTCTCGTTTCAAAGGGCCTAGAATTGCCCAACACACTGGACTTGCCGCTTCGGCGAAGTTGACTCTTACCGGTGGGCTTGTCCTGGGCAGGACGTAAAAAGGCCCACGGCGTTGCAAGGAAGCTACAATGAGCGGCAAGATTCCCATTCAGCATCTTTGATGGACATTACGGTTACGATTCTCGCTACGGAGTCACATGTGGTAGGCAAGCTGGCTATCTGCCCAAGTGACGATGCTAACAATCACAACAGTAACGATCTCTAGACTTGTGATGTCTCCAAGCCTGGGCAACCAAAACGAACGACTGCATCTCATTCATTCAGCAATTAGAGCCTCGGAAATTTTTCCTAATTCTGATGAACCGCGACGATAATGATTCATTTGTCTCCATCTTCGGCATTCTCGGGTCTTTCTTTTTGGCCGACTCCGGCGCTGGGTAGTACGTTCATTCTCGGGTTGCTGTGTGCTAGTGAGGCATGCTAATTGATATCCAAGGACAGGATTCGGAAAAGCAAAACCAAAAACAGCTTCTCGGCTGTGTCTTGGGTCCTGAGCATGACTCGAAAAGGCTCAAATGGATTCTCCTGAGCATGAATTGAAAAGGCTCCAATGGATTGTCCTGGGCAGGACGTAAAACTGCCTTGGTCTGCCATGCCATGCCTTGCCATGCCATGCCGGATCAACTGGATGTTCGACGCGGGAGCCTTCTGAGTGCTCCTGTCACATCTCGTGGCTAGAAAGATGGATTCCCTTTCTAGCCTTGCCTCACGACTTTTGGGCGGGCATTTGCCGCCGTCCAACTGTCTCTTGTGCGGACGATTGGTTACCGACAATCCTCCGCTCTCGACATTTGGCCACGCTCGTTCTCCAACGATCGGCCACCATTGGCCCGCAGACTCATTTCATCATTACCATTGATGGTTGCTCTGGCTTTGCCACAGAAGAGCTTCGACCCTGCATTGGCCCCTTGATCAACGATCACAACAAGATCTGCACATATGGATGTCTCCTCATTTTCGGAGTCGAGGCATGATATCTGCCATCTTCGTTGAGATCGGCATCATTGACTACTGATCTCTGATCATTACTGTGTGAAAACTACTGTGTTAACAAAACTGGGTAACTCTGCGTTCAACTTCCTGGAGACCGCATCGCGTCTTTTGACGTTGCGGAGCACATATTGACGCGGAAACCGCTGTAACTGCCGTGGTTGGCTGTTGAAAAGATCAAGTGACACAACCGCTGTCGTGGATTGACAGACGGGGGCAGGATCCAATCTAATGTTGGTCCTGTCCACGTGCCATCCAGGCGGGATCCTTTCTGAAGGAGACAAGCGCGATAGTAAGGGCCTTCTTTGCACCGTCTTAGCAAGGCTACTTTGCTCCGGAGCCAGCATCTCGGACTAGGCCGAGGAGGATCTGCCCCACGAACCACGCCATCACTCAATTTTTGGGTGCCGAATACGTGGGGCTAACGTTTGGAATGGAAGCCGAGGGGCTTCATGGGTTTGGGCTGGTCGCGTCTCTCACACACGGTCATGTTTGTGACCGTTTCAAAAAACCCTATGCTTGATCACAGTGTCGGGGTTTGGTACAGTGGGCAAAAAATCGATAAGGGGGGCTGCAGGTGGGGGATTTCTGGGCAGGGAGAGATGCCTTATGATTCTCTATGCTTCAAGATAGTCCTGTACAGCCGCAATTCAAGCCTGACATTTGTCCCCAAACATGGCGTTGGCAACGTGAAGACTCTTTTACCTTTTGATCAAGAGCTATACTGGTGACTAGATGGCATCCATTCGAATTACCTGCAAACAGCCAATGCCTTAGTCCGCCATGCTGATGAGTTGTCTGAGTCTTGGGGCACGCTCGTTAACAATGGAAAGCATTTGGTTGGCGTCCACATCGACTTGGTCAGAAGTTACCCTCCCGCAGGACGTCATGCTTCAGCTTACTACCTCATATGGTGTGTGATAATTACTGGAGAAGTGCAACAATTTGTACTTCTCATGATTCTCTGACGACATGTTCAATACAGACTTGATGTTATTCTCTCTCAACGCTATAACACCGTCCGAGACACGTTGAATATATTGGCGCGAGCTTGGCTGAAGTCCTAGCGCAATGTTACATTTTCCTTTCGGTATGGGCACCATGGTGAGGGGCAACGTTGTTCGCGGCATTTGAACACTTCTTTTCATGCTTCATTCGCTAATTCTGCTTGCAGCCTAGCAATACATAACGACAAGCAAAGATGGTGAATTTATGCAATGGTAAATAATCCATTATTGTAGCGTCTTGCTATGCTTAAACACAATCTTGTACGAACGCCGTTGTACCAGTACACTCACAGTCTCGAAGGACCGGATCATAACGCCTCCATTATTCCTGTACTCAAATGACGGTCATTGATATTATTTATTTCGGGGGGCTCGGGCCACGAGTCCAGCTAGTCCAGGTCAGCCTCATGTTCTTTGTAGTAGGTTGTGGATATCATACTTCTGCCACATCTGGCCGATGAATCCAGGTGCCGGCTTAGAATCAGTCATTGACTGTCTGCGTGCTGCGGTGCCGTCGTGACGCTTCTGTTCCACAAGGCCTTGGAAGAGAGTGCCTGAGCTCTGTGCGGGGTGCGAGTGTTAGCTACGTCATTTCGAGGACTCGGAATGAGGAGGCACGTACGCGTCTGCGGCCGGTGGTAGGGGAGACAGGGGCGTTGTTGGTCTTTCCGGAGTCCATGATGGAGGTGTTGAAATTTGTGGTTGTTTTGCTTGTTGTGGTGTTCAGGTTGTGTAGATACGTTGCTGATTTGCTCTGCATGAACGGAGAAGAGAGCAGCGGCAGCAAGAGGGTATATAAGCAACTGAGCTCTTCCTAAGCTCACCTAGCTTGACCTGCCAGAACAGAGTTCCCAGAGGTATCCCGTCTAGGGTATTCCAGACTCGTCTCCCTTCTCCACGGATGACTTCACCAATGAGGCCAGCGCCCACCCCTCTGACACAAGGGATGCGGGAAAGCTTGTCGATGCGCCGGTCAAGACGATGACGGCGTTTACTCGCTCGCTTCATCACCGGAGGTCTCCAGTAGCGCCCGCCGCACTTCTTTAGTCCAGGGGGGGTACGTATGTATACTTTTACGACGAATCCTAAAATCGGGTTGGTTACATCAAGCTACCCTGAATGTTTGTGTACGTAAAACACCCTTTCCCCTCTGCAAATCGTGCTCCCCGAAGGTGCTTATGCTGTCACTTTGTTGGAGCGGCCTCTGCCGTGTAAGCTCTGGCAGGTACCTCCTGCTGGTCCTCGCTTCTTCTCCTCTCGAGGTTTACCCCGCGCGGGAAGGCCATGCAAACCCAGGTTGGTGGTCTGATCACGTCCTGGGCCGAGATGGCCGGATAGCCAGTCAAACGCCGGCGATCTCAAGCAAAGGGGCCATGTTCCCAGTGTTTCTCTCCTCTCTCTCTCTGTGCCAGACCAGAGAGCTGAAGGCAAGGGAGGGGGATCCCAGGCATGGATGGACAAGCAACATTAGAAAAACACACGAGCGGGCGAAACACTGGCAGCATTGTAGCCAAAACCCTCGCGAATCATGAGTTGGACACGTGATGGTTTGTTCGATTGGGGCGATGATTGGCACGTCCTGCAACATCAACACAGGCACGACAGGCAGCTGTGACGAAGGGTTTGCGGGCAAAAAGTAAGCAGCAGAGACATGCGTGGCAGGAGATTGGCCCAGGACGGGATGGGCAAATACTACGGTATGTTGCGTATGTACGGATCATCCATCGTTGGCGTTCTTGGTACGCACGGCAAGGATCGTCCGCGGACGTGGGCAAAAGTGTGGGGAGACCATGCACCACCGCCGGAAGAGAGAAAGCGATAGGGGGGCGCAGCG